TTTTCCTCCTTACCCCGCACCTGAAGTCACTACCGAGTACACCGGGGGCGAAGAATCCTCCCGGTTTTACGGGAGAGCCGGGGTTTGCTACGCTTCAGCATCCCGCGGGGAGCTCACGCTGGCTCTTGAAGTTAAAACCAGCCCTAACAAAGAGCTGTTTATTAAAGCGAGCTACATGCCAGGCATCTATTTGCTTTTGCCTCCCTCCCTCTCGGCGCGGGGCACCCCAGAGCTGCAGGCACAGACCGGCTCATCCCCACCGGCAGCCCATGACCCCCCAAAACTGCACCAAGGGAAGCAGAGGACAGCACGCCGCTTGGGCTGGCTTTTATTTCTTCTTCGTAAACCCTCGGTAGCTGTTTGGAAAGGAGTATAATTTCAACCCTGCACAGCGTGGCTGGGGGGGGAAAGAAATCCCTTAGGCCAGGTGGGCCGGTGCCCAGCAGCTCCGCTCGCTTTCCCGGAGCTCATTTGCCCCCGGCCTCATGCCACCCAGACCAGACCCCATGTGTGCTCTGCCCCCCCATGCGCTCCGCGAACCTCTGAGCTCTAAAACTGGCTTGGCTTTGCTCAGCTCTTGCTCTTTTTCTTCGGTTTTAAGTCAATTCCGCAGGAAACCTATAATAATGATGCCCGTCTCCTGCATGAGTCAGTCCCGTGGTAGCGATCAGTTTGCAGGCAGGAGTCCCACCAGTGTTCCTGGCCCCAGCAGAACTCACAAGACAGCTGTTTTCCTCTGATTTTGTAATGTGGAAGTGGGACAGGGCTCTAGCTCCAGCAGGATGAAACATGAGTTATGGCATCTCTCCCAGGGCTAACAAAGTGATTACAGCCCTGCTTGTAGCGCTGCGTTACCCGTTTAGATGTAGAGCATGCCTGAGCTAAGGACTTCTTGCACGGGCTGGAACAACTCCTGCATCTGGGTAAACGGGGGGAAAAAATATAAAATCAGAGATCTCGGGGGATCTTCGATGCTGCAGAGCTCCTGCACGAGCATCCCCCCGCAGCCGGGGCAGGCTGCGTCCAGCAGGTTGGGTGCCGGGTGGCGCGGCAGCATGGGGGCCGGAGCGATGTCCCCTCGCTGAGCAGCCGCCCCGTCCCCGCAGAGCTGCCTCAGCAGGCAGCAGCTCCTGGCCGCCATCCGGCAGATGCAGCAGCTGCTGAAGGGGCAGGAGACGCGCTTCACCGAGGGCCTCCGCGTGATGAAGAGCCGGCTGAGCACCCTGCACGCCTCCCTGGCGCCCAAAGCCGCCCCCGAGCCGCCGGCCGGTGAGTCCTCCCTGGGCCCCACCGGTTGCTTTTATGGCCTCAGAGGATGCTGGGGCGGGCAGGTCAGGATGCTGAGGGCTGTGACGGGTGGAGGTTTGGGCATCTCCACAGGTGGGGATACCTGTTCCCATGTTGGCAATTTGTGAGTGTGAATTCAAGCACTTCTCCAGCCTGGTGAGACGTGGGGAGGCTCAAAAGCCCTTAGCTGCAAAGCAGAGAGCTCCCGGCAAAGCACTGGAGGCGCGTGGGCTGGAAAACCGTGTCTCCAGCAAAAGAGCCGCAGTCCTGTGCTGGGACCATGAGAGAGGTGGCAAAAATGCCACCAACCCCCTTGCCAGTGACGCTCAGCCCCACTGCGGGGCTGGATGTTACCGATTAACCTCAGCAGGCCAATATTCGAGGAAAATAACAGTTAAAGAGGAGTTCTTGGTGGAACTGGGTGAACCGTGGTAGAGTTGGGGACAGGAAAGGTAAGTCAGTGCTCCCCCAAAGCACCCGCCTGAATACTGACACCCCCCCCCGCTCCCCGCGGTGCTCTTGCAGCCTCCTGCCCTGCCCTGCAAGCCCCCGCGGACGGGAGGAAGTTTGGCACCAAGTATTTGGCGGAGCACGAGGTTCACTTCACCTGCGACCCGGGCTTCCAGCTCCTGGGCTCCAGCACGCGGACGTGCCAGGCCAACGGCAGCTGGACCGGGCAGGAGCCCCGCTGCGTAGGTACTGCTCTGGGCTGCCTACGGGCGGGCTGCCGGGCAGGCGGCCGCCGTCGTAGGGCTGCTTCGTGCCCGTGGAAGAGTGGGATGCAATTTGGGTTTATTTAAACATGGGGGATTATTGGGGTTCACCAAACAGGGAGGTATCGCAGCTGTCCCCGAGTCCCAGCTAGCCAACATCCCATGGATGCTGCAGCTCCTGCGGCCGGTGATTTGGGGTTTCTCATCCTCAAGGAAGGCTGGAAATCACAGCTGGAGCCTCACCGGCAGCTCAGCAGCAGAGATGAGGGGAAAAGGCATCGGTGCTACGATGGCTCCCTGCGTCGTAGCAAACCTTTGTGCCAGGGCAGCGCCGCAGCATCGGAAACGGCCGGTGTCTGAGTTCGGCAAAATAAATGGTTATGATGTGCTGTGGGGTACCAAAGCGGCCCGGTGCGTGCGGCGTTCCTGTGGCTTGCTTCCCAAAATAAAATAAAATGAAACGTGCCTGCTTTTTTTGCAGAGATCAGCGAGTGCTCGAGCAGCCCCTGCCAGAACGGCGGGACGTGCCTTGTACTTTGCAATAAGTCAGTTGCTGTCCAAATATATTAGAAAAAACAAAGCATTTCTTTCCCTTGAAGGTTCGAGTTCTTAGGCAGAAAACAGACCTGTTTTTTCCAAGACTCTAGGAGGACAGCAGCTCCTTACTCTCTTAGTCTAATCTGTTTTATCTGCTGGTGAGACACTATGTATATTTATATACTGAGCAACTGGAGTACATCAGTTTCCATTCTTATCGAACACAAATATTTACCACAGGCCTGATCCAAGGTCTACTGAGATCCGTGGTACTCTTAAAAAGTGTAACTTAACTAGAGCAAACTCCTAATTTTTTTCCAATTTAATTTTAGTTGGGTTATAGGATATTTTCTTAGCAACTAAGTATTTTTTTAAATAGAGGAAAAAACCGAACACATTACTTCTTTGCTTTAGTCACCAACTCAGTTGTACAGATTCCCTAATAGGCTTTTTCAGCTGTAGTTCCTGTCAGTGAGGAAACTGTGAAATGTTTTGACATTAATTGTCAGTGAGGAATTGAAACACAGAAGTCAATGAGCAATTAACATTATTAAACTTTAATGGACACATTCCATATAAAAATAGCACATGTAGCATAGCAATTGACAGATTTCTGTTTATCTCTGGACATCTCCAAGGGCAATGTCATACTTAATGTAAAGAGGGCAAGAAGAGAGGCGGGGGGGGGGGGGGGGTGGGGAGGAGAGTGATGGAGGTTCAGGCGCTGGCAAACACGTGCGATGCTTTGGGGCTACGGGAGCCCCGCTGCGGTGGTGGGGCTGTCGGTCCCCTGTGAGCGGGATGGCCCCGAGAAGAAACGCAAATAGCGTTAAAAAGCAAGAATTAGACGGCGAGGGGTCAGCTCGGAGGCCGGCAGCTTCTCCTCCTAAAACAGGGGAGTCGGGGTGTGGGCTGAGAGCAAAGCAAAGCGGCAGCAGGTAGGGATAGGGATGGTGGGTGGGTGGCCAGAACTGCTCGCATGAAAGTCTCCTCCTGAAAAACAGGGATTTTTTTTGTGTTACAAAGTGTTGATTAATGCAGCTCGTGCTGAAAAAGCTCACGCTTTCTCCTTTTCCCCCCCGTTTCTGCACGTTTCGATAGCATCTTGCTAATGCTCCCAGCAAATACCTGCATTCAAAGCTCCTGATTTCATCGCCAGGTATCTTGGTGGTTACCTAGGAGTTCAGTAAATAAAAAGAGATGGTGTTTTCAAACAACTTAGCAGAAAGTTAGGAAAATAAGCTGCTCTCCTGCTGTGAGAGTGCTGCCGTTAACCCTTGCTGGCCCAGGGCAGAGCTCGGGGAGAGGAGAGCAGGCACGGAGTGGGATTTCAGGCGATTTAGGTGTTTTCAGCCATACTCTCGTACTTTTTTGATCACCATTTCAAGGTGCTTTTGCCTATTTTCCGCCAAAAGGAACCCCTCAATGGGGTCGGTTTGAGGTCTCCGGTGAGCTTGACCCGCTGCCCGCCCCTGTTTTGCAGACATCGACGAGTGCGCCCTGTCACAGGATAACTGCACGAGGGGGACCACCTGCATCAACACGGGGGGGGGCTTCCAGTGCGTCAGCCCCCAGTGCCCCCAGCCCGCCGGCAACGTCACCTACGTCAAAACATCACCCTTGTAAGTGCGGCGGGGCGCAAGGCCTGTCCCTGCTTCGTTTTTTTGGGTGCTGGGTCCCAAAACCACCTGCACAGCATCCACATGGATCCAATGCCACCGAGGTGGGGGACACGGGCCCCGCATCCCTGGGGTCCCCTGAAAACCTCCCCCGCCTTTTGCCTTTGCAGCCAGTGCGAGCGCAACCCCTGCCCGATGGAGAGCCGGTCGTGCCACCAAGCACCCAAAACCATCTCCTTCCACTACCTTCCCCGGCGGCCGGCGGCGGCGCCCGGACGGCCGACAGCCTGCGCTTCGGCATCGTGGGCGGCAGCAACCGCGGCCACTTCGGATGCAGCGGGCGGCAGCAACCGCGGCCACTTCGTGATGCAGCGGTCGGACCGGCAGACCGGGGAGCTCATCCTGGTGCAGAGCCTCAAGGGTCCCCAGACCATCCAGGTGGACGTGGACATGTCCGAGTACCTGGACCGTGTCTTCCAGGCCAAGCACGTGTCCAAAATCACCGTCTTCGTCTCCGCCTATGAGTTTTAGGGGAGGCGGCAGCCGGGGCGGCTTCCCTGACGGCGATGGTCCCCGCTCAGCACCCTCCACCCGAAAGCGCTAGCCCTGGAGGCAGGCGTGTAATGGGAGCTCCAGGTGACATCCCACGCCGAAGCCTCTCTGCAGCCAACCATCCTCCCCTCTGCGTCAAGGTTTTTCTGCCCAGGCGGCTTTTACACCCACCTGTGTGGGGGAAAAAAAAGCAAACGAGGCGCAAAAGAAATGAGGTGCAGGGGATACCTGCTCGCCGGGGCGCGGGAGCAGAGCATCGTCCTCACCCGACGATGTCCCGCAGCCTCGGCGCCTCCACAGCGCAGAAAACAGCGGATAGAAACCACGGCCCTCATCCCCTTTTCAATTCCTTTTTTTTTTCTTTAGGAAAGAAGTTAAACTGGTGCATGCAGGAGGAGGGCGGCTCATAGCGGCTACCGCTCTCCTCCCCGCTGGCCCGGGCTTGCTTGCACTGATCCCAGCCCTGCGCAAGCGTGCCTCCGCTCCCCTTGGGATGCCGAGAAAACCCACGGCAGCCCACGGGGAGGGGGCTGG